GAAAGCTGTAACAGCATCCATCTGGTCGATTTGAAGATTATACTTCGTAGATAAAGCCACTAGGAAACGAATTGATGCATATCGAACTACAGGGGAATATGTTTCTTCATAATCTATTCCCTTTCTTTGTGCACAACCTTTTATAACTAGGCGTGCTTTGTATCGGATAATTTTACCTCGAGAATCTCTTTTGGTTTTGAAAACCCATTTACAATCTATCGGTTTCTTATCTTCGGGTAAATCAGTCAAAATCCAAGTTTTATTCTCAATTAGGGCTTCATATTCTTCTTTCATCGCATTTTCCCAGAGAGTTGAGTCGGATCTTGAGAAAATTTCTTCGGTACATACAGGATCTGGAAGTTCAGTTGTCTTAGAGGCAGAAAATGTTATAAAATCTTCCATCACAACAGATTTTCTGACTCTTGATGATCTTCTCACTCCATTATCTTCATCAGTCGTATTGGGAATATTATCATCACTCTTCTCCGATTCTAATTCTGCGGGAACATGTGCTTCAGATGGCATTATAGCTTTCTGATTTGAAGCATCATTTGGAAAACTTTCGGAATTTTCTGGAGAATTTTTCGAGACATTGACAATAACTTCATTCCTGTCATTACTGGATTCAAGATTTGCTATAGGGTGTTGTGCAAATTTTGAATGACATGTCTCAAAAAATGTGACGTCTCTGCTGATGATAATCTTTCTCGTTTTCAGATCAAATAAACGATATGCTTTAGAGTTCTCGCAGTATCCCAAAAACTTACATTCGAAAGATTTCGGTTCGAATTTAGTTCGTTTCTGTTTTGGGATATGAACCATAGCTTTGCATCCAAAAACTCGAATATGTTCCAAGTTCGGTATGAGTTTTGTCCAAAGTTCTTCGGGTGTTTTATCAATTGCATGGCTTGGTGACCGATTCAACACATACACTGCTGAAGAGACTGCTTCTGCCCAAAATTCAGTAGTGAGTTCAGCATCAAATAACATACATCGAGCTTTTTCCACAATGGATCGATTTTTGCGTTCAGCAACTCCATTCTGCTCCGGAGTATAGGGTGCTGTAGTTTGATGCTGAATACCACAATTCTGCAAGTATGCTTTCAGAGTTGAATTACAATACTCGGTCCCATTGTCACTGCGTAGAATTTTCAATGTCTTCTGAGTTTGATTCTCTGCATAGTCTTTGAATTCTTTGATTTTATTGGGTGTCTGATTTTTATTCTTCAAAAAATACACGAACACTTTTCGGCTGAAATCGTCCACTAAAATCAAATAATATCGAGCACCACCCAAGGAGTCTACGGACATGGGTCCACACAAGTCGGTATGAACTAATTCCAAAATGTCAGATGCCCGATTTGCTCCGTGTTTAAAAGGAAGGCGAGTTTGTTTGCCTTTCAAACATATATCACAGGGTTCATTCAATGTGCTCGATTTGAATTCAACACCAGTCACTAGTCCATTATTTAGTAACTTCAAACTTTGAAAATTCATGTGTCCCATTCTTCTGTGCCACAAATCTTGGTCCAAACTCACAGTTGTGACAAAAGTCTGATGCTTTTTCTGTATGTCCAATTTATACATATTTCCGACTAAAGAGGCAGTTCCAATGAGTTGATCACACGAATTGTATAATCTACATCCCGACTCATCGAAGATAACTGAGTTGCCGTTTTTCAACATTTTACTGACTGATAACAGGTTTGTGCATAGATTTGGAACATACAGAACATCTTTTACACAAACATCAGTAACAATTCCATTGGCGACGAGGAACAGTTTTGTATTACCTATACATTCCACTGGTAAACAAGTATTATCAGCAATTTTTACTTCTGAAGTGCATGGTATTGTCGTACATTCGAGCCAGTCTTTTCTAGCAGTCATATGTGCAGATGCTCCTGAGTCGATAAACCAATCTTCGATACTTGTTTCACTGACGATGAAGGATGTATACAAAATATTTTCTGTTGGCTTCTTCTTTTGTGTGCATTGTGATGCAAAATGTCCATATTTATTGCATGAATAACACCGCACACCTTTACTTCGTGTATTCATCTTCTTGGAGTTGAATTTTCTGCTGACTAGAGCTAAGCAATCTGAAGATTCGTTCTCTTGCTTAACATCTTGTAGTAATTTTGTTTTTATGGCATCTGCTGTTATAGGAGTCCCTGAGCTTTCCAAACCCATCAACATAGGTTTGTATATTTCTGGTAAACCAGCTAATAATAGAGTACCAATCCACTCATCGTTAACGGACATTCCAACTCCAGATAACTTATGGGCAGTGGTAACTATTTTGTTCACATAACTCTCAACAGAATCACTTTCCTCTAACTTGGTAGTGATTAGAGTTCTGAGCAAACCTACTCTTCTGGTTAGACCAGAGTCTTGGAAAGCCTTTTCCAAATTATTCCAAACCTCTTTGGCAGATTTAGCTGATTGAACATGAACGTAATTGATTGGGTCAATTAGTAAAATGATTTTGGATTTTGCTTTAACATCTTTCTTCACGTCGTTGTCTGTACCGGTGACACAATCCCACAGTTCTTCGTGTTCTAGCAGTGTCTGGGTAGCAAACTTCCAAGTATCATAATTTTCACGGCCTTTCAGCTTCTCCACAGATAAAAACGAACTACTTGAGGACATTCTGATCTCGATCTGATAGTTCACCAGAGCTTTGGGAAACTTGTAAACTATATTCTGCGTATTTCTTGATCAGGCGATATCTGGGCCCATAACCAGTTGGAAAATGAACTGTTTCCTTATGGATGATCCAGAGAAACACGATAAGATAGAAATTTTTATTTCTGAAAACACAATTGACTGTCTGTCAGTCTTATTATCAACAACTCATACGTTTCTATATAAACCAAAAGAATATCAAATACATAGGTGACTTGGTGTAATGTATGTTCTAATTCCAACATCTTTCAATGGTTCATTTCTTGACCAGGAAGACATTCCGAGAAGTCTATCCATAGGTACGCTACAGGGGGTTGTGATAACTTTTCCTCCCATATTTTCTACCCCACTGACGAAATTTTGATTATTTCCAATTTCTCGAATTGATTGTTCAATTATGTTGAAAAAATGCATTACCTTCAACTAAGCTAAAATTAACAGTTATCGAGATATTTGACCCAAAATAGAAGTTTGCATAGTAATTTTTCATCTTCCTCAGTAGTGGAAAATTACAAAAATGTTTGTTTTCTCTTTATTCGTGGAATAACTATTTCTGTTCAGCTACAGGATGAGATCTGAATAGTATCTAATCTACTCAACACCAGAAAAATATTTTTGCAATTTTCTACTACTGAAAATGATGAAATATTACTATGCAATCTTCTATTTCGGGTCGAATATCTCGAAATCTGTTTATCTCAGCTCAGCTGAAGGTGATACATTTTCTGAACAAAATTGAACAATGAATTCGAGGAATTGGAAATAATCGAAATTTAATCAGTGGCGTAGAATATATGGGAGAAAAAGTTACCACAACCCCCTGTAGGGCACCATTGGATGAAATGTCCGGAATGGCTCCCTGGTCAAAAAATGACCCATTCAAAGGTGAAACCATATACTGAATTTGAATGCATTATATTAAATTATTCTTGAGATATTGCGAAACAACTATTTTTATTTCTTAACTGCAACGCCCTGTATCTCGAGAACTGAGCACTTGAAGACCATATGTCTTTATCTCAATGATTATGAAATCACGAGGGCTATCACCTGTCAAGCGTTGTCGGTCGAATTTCGCAACACCCTGTATTATTCAGAAAAGTAGTGAAAATAAAGTGGAAATGTGTGGTATCAAATTATTCCCAAAAAATGATCTTTCACAAAAAGCAGACGAGCCATGCCCTTTCCATTTCAAAAATTCAAGTTAATTGTAAAAAATCATATTTGTGACTTTCAAATGATTATTAAAACAACTGTGAAGTCATGAGCCTCAATGTGAGCATCAATGTTATATTTTTTTCATGTTATTTGATCAAGAGTGAAGTCATTCACAAAACCTATGGCATTCTAGATTGAAAAATTTAAATTTGACACATTAACATCATAATGTTGAACTCCAATTACTAAATGTGGCCTGTGCTGGTTGGACACTAATAATGACTTTGGTCCTCCAGAACTAGTTCATGTCAGTCTTCAATGACTGACATAGTCATTGAAGACTGAGATAAATAAAAATTACATCATTTGTAAAATATTGACAACTGAGGTGTTTTTGGATTGGTACAGGGTAGAGCTCATTTCTTGTTAAACCAGAAGTAAGGCAAGGTAAAAGCATACAATTGACTAACAACAAAGAACAGCAAAATATAGACATAGACAGGCACCAAACTACCAGAGTGCTCTTTAGTGGAATTTTTTCCAGGATGTTTTGAAGGAGTATCCTATGTGATTTTTTTTTACTATTTAAAAGACAGTTCCAAAGCAGCATGATACTGGTGGTGGAACTATTTGATCTTTCTGCCAGAGCTGGCAGATGAAATTTCTGAACATACCCTATCAGTCAGTGGTGTGTTTCCACCCTTTTAAAGAAATGTGGTGCAAATTAATGAATTATCAGTTAGCTGCCACACCAAGGTTCAACAGAATGATGCATGATACTGTTCTATTGTTGTTGAATGTGGAATGTAGTGTTTAAATAGGGACTTTATGGAGGTAATGTTCTACATATTGTAATGTAGCAGTGGTGGTCATGGCCTTGTAGAAAAAATCATAATGTCAAGGGACATTGTTGAACTTGAGAAAATATGTCAACATTTCTAAACTCAAGAATTTGTTCAAAACTATGGGAGAATTTATGAGTGACCCAATGAGAGTTCAGAGTGTTGAAACTCAGCATCCACTGTCAACAACTGGGTCAACAAATAATATTGTCAAGCTCATTTTATAGAATATAAAGCCTCTAGGAGTATTATGTAGTGTCTCATAACTCAACCTGTAGGTGGTAACTATATTATTTTCATATTCCTATTTACCTGATAATCCCCATAATAAATTTGTATCAAAAGCGCCAGTGTAATGATGAATGTTAGAGTTCCAAAGGCAATATTCATGTACTTTGAGCCACTGAAGCACTCTTCATTGCAGAAGTAAGGACGTGTTGCTTTCCTCCCATTTTTCAAGGGAATATCTTCCCTGGTCTGGGAAACTAAAAACATTTTTCTGATCACTTTTTATTCCTACCTTATTAGCAGTGATCTAACAAATTTATACCTCCCAATTCCTCCCCGACAGTCATTACCACAAATTGAATAGTAGACAATTAAATGAGATTCCTTTGAATTTTTCTTATAGGTAAGATTTAAAACAAAGTAAATAAACTCTAAAAACAAATTTTATATTTTATATTTTCGTACGTGGGATAAGGGATAACTTAACGGTAAAGTTGGTATGGTCATGGCAAGTCATGGTTCCATGGGTTCCATGGTTGTCGTCACTGTTCCACTGTTGTCAGGTTGTCGTGACTGTGACATGGCTGCCATGAACACGAATTCAAAACGCCCCGAAATGAGGCATAGGCAGGCCTTTAGAACAATCACAATGGTCAAGGCTATTTAACTTATAGTAGAGTCCCTGTATATACCTTAGACAAGAGTCCGGACACAGCTATACTTCTGTCCTTTTCTGTTTTCAAAAAATGCATTGATGATTGAATAAAGGAATAAGACATATACAAGGTGATTCTAAAATAGGTGGTCAAACTTTGGGAGCATATAGAGTGGGTGAAATAGTTACGAAAACCTCCGTAACATTTTTTTCTGAAGTGACCCCCAAGAAAGATACAACCCCTCAAAGGGGGGCCTCGGAGAATGATTTTGTATTATTATCTCCAACACCTTGTATAATGAAAATCTGAAATTTTGTCCATCCACTCACTATTCAGTGCCGGTTCGAATGGAATTGAAATCACCTCAAAATTAAATACAGGGGTGTGTCAAAATAGGGAAGTAGGGTGTAAAAATAACCCCAACTTTTTTGTTCATCGCAATTTTAGTTTTTTGACATGAAATTATGAAATCTCAGGGCAATTAACATAGAAAAGGAACTCTTGTTCGCTAATGGTTATTCATTTTATCGAGATGCAACAAGAGCACCTTTTCTATGTAAATTCCCCTGAGATTTCATAATTTCATGTCAAAAAACTGAAATTGCGATGAACAAAAAAATTGGGGTTATTTTCACCCCCTACCTCCCTATTTTGACACACCCCTGTATTTAATTTTGAGGTGATTTTAACTCCATTCGAACCGACACTGAATAGTGTTGGAGTTGGAGATGATAATACAAAATCATTCTCCGAGGCCCCCCTTTGAGGGGCTGTATCTTTCTTGGGGGTCACTTCAGAAAAAATTGTTACGGAGGTTTTCGTAACTATTTCACCCACTCTATATGCCCCAAAAGTTTGACCACCTATTTTAGAATCACCTTGTATAACGAGCTCTGTCTTTCCAATTCCCCTAGTATCAATGAATGTCAGAAACAATTTTGAGGGTTAGATTATTTGTCAAACCGTTCATAGCCGTAGGTAGAAGTGAGAAATAGGGCTATGAATAACTATTAGATTTTCAAATAATGAACAACAGGGTGTGCAAATTTCGAATCGATAATTTTCGTAATCAATTCCTGAGATGGCTATTGCAAATTTTCGTCATCAGATATTTCTTTCCTTCATTAGATATAAAAAAGATAATTTAAGTGTTCTACGTGGTATCACATATAGCCAAGAAAATATAGTTGTTTTCTGTTGGGATATAAAAAAATAGAAGATATATAATTGTTTCAATATAATTTTAATTGTGTCGGTTTCCCACCTCTTCCTGCAGTCTACATTCACCAATAAATTCTTCAATTTGATCTGAATTAAAAACACCTTGGACTGATGACATAGCACTCGCATAGCACATTGCAATTTCCCTAAATCTTCTAGTTTTGATTTCAAACTTTCAATTTCTCTCCGCATCATCTCATTTTCTTTCTCTGCGATCGTATTATTCAGCAATTCCCAATACGATGACGACGGAACTCTTTTTTTGAAGAGATTGACGGCACAGCAGACTCTTTCAATTTGAAATCCATCAGCTTGAAAGAATCTCTATCAAAATGGGCCTAAAATTCATATTTTTTGTACTGTTTTTACAAGTAAATTCGATTGTTTACCTCACATATTGCGGATTTCTTGAAATTAATTTTCCATTCTGGACATTTCATTGCATTCTTCCATGACATTATCTTTAAAGGATCATTCGGAAAATTGAATAACTCGAATTCCTTTTCTAATGAATTATCGCAATAATGTACGCAGCAGGACATTGAAATAATTTAAAATGCAAAATTTTGGCGGCCATAAAATTTCAAAGTGACAGTGACAGAAATTCGAAATAATTGAAAAAAGCGGGCGGGACATGGGCGGGACGACTATGGTGTTTCGTCACATTGTCAGGTGGGCAAACCAAATGAAACAAAATATTAAAAACCCCAACGGCTGTCAGTTTTGTGTCAAGTATATACAGGAACTCTAACTTATAGAAGTTAATAGACCTTGCACAACGGTGATACAAGATGCGGCTGCGGCGCAAGCTGCGGCGTGCGTGATACGGCAATGTCAAAATCTGTCATCTGTTGGTTGACGGACGAAACAACGAATGAACTGCTGACTGGAAAACTGTTGCAAACGAAACTTCAGATCACACACTGCACAGTACCACAGATTAGCAAACCTGTGACAGTACAGCAGGTTCTTCTTTTGATACTTTCAGTCATTGCTTTCAGAAGTCAGAAGTCAGAACCAAAGAGGTCAGAACTGTCCAGAAGTCAGAAGTTCAAATCAATCAAATCCCAGAACACCCCAGAACGAATAACCAAAAACCAAAACGTCTGTGCCACAGGAAACTTGAAAACATACATGCCGAACATGCGATTGCGAGAAACTCGTGGTGATATTTTTATTTAGCTTATTAAACTCAATTTTTCCTCTGATGAATTATAAGATAAGTTTGATAGTATTCGAGAGAAGATGGGCACACAGAAAGATATAATGTGGAGTTTCCAGAAAACTCCTTTAACCTGTGAAGAGGCACTGTTGAAACCAATTTTCCTGATACTGAATGACTCTTCCAGGGAAAACGAGACGAGAAAACATATAAAGAATATTGTGAGTATTTCGTAGGATGATTTTCTTCATTCAAAAATGAACATTTTTTGCAGGTGGATATATATAAATCAAATATTCATAAAAAAGCAGAGATTGTGGAGGCAAAAAACTTGCTATTGAATTTTTTCAGTAGGTTCAGTAGCAAAAAGAACTTGAAAAAGTATATCCAAGACATTATTGGGAAGATGGAATTATCAACATCAATTATTAAATCAACAACAGAAGAAATTTTAGAGGATATCAATAGTAACCAAATTTGTAATATCAGACAATGCACCGATCTCCTCAATTTTGTGTATCATATGCAGAACTCAACTTTCTTTGAATATGAAGTCACCATTGAGTCTTTGTTTCCATTATACTTTATTCTCTTTGAAGGATTCATTCATCAAGCAGGGTATGTCTTGAGTAATTTTTTCAATTCAATTCAATTTCAATTTTCATTGAATGACTACTTTTTTTTTCAGGTATGATTTTGAAAAACTATCTTTGCCATCAGAAGAATTGTTTGCTCTACTGAATGTTGTTTTGAAACAGATTTTATCAGTTTATGTGAAGAACATTCCCTACCTGAAAGTTGTGGCAGAAACATATAGTGCCAGACTCATAAACTTGGCTCATTCTGCTGTGATTCATAATAAAATTGGATTTGATATAAAAACAAAGGCTGGATTAATTATCACACATTCCTTTAATATTGTTCCAAACAAGTTTCGTAAAAAATTAGTGAGTGTCAATAATTGCATAATCCAAAGTTATAAGTAGCTAATCAAAATTTTTACTTTCAGAAATTCAAGGATTGCCCTCCTTTGGATCTTGTGAAAGATTATAATGAAAATGATTATTTCACTTTCAATAACCAGAAATTAGATGTGTTGAGGAATATTGATAATTTGGTAATTATATATGCCTCAGTACTCAGTGTATATTCTAAAGAGAAGCTGTTTGGGGTGAAAATGAATGGAGAAACTCTCATATGTTTGCTGTATCATAATATCATGGAATGTGCTAAAAGGTATGAGGAGTATGTGCAACAAAATAATGTTTATCTACTACACACTGTTTTACCACTAACCAAACTGATTTTTTGAAGCCTCCACATGTATTTTGCTAACCATGTTAGCATCTCCTAAACCGTCCTAAACGGTCTATCCTAGTGTGTGGTATATGTCAACATAACCATGGAAGACACTAACCACCAAGTTAATGTTGGTCATGGTTGAGTTCACATGTTAACTTTGGTCTTATGGGTATCACTGAACTATACAGAAGGCTAAATGGGATAGGTCCATTATCCTTATTCATTACTCTAATACTGTTCTTAAATGTCTCTAAGCTTCCATATGCATCTAATTTCCTAAAATTATCAACTTGCTTAATTGTGATTGTGATCTAACATGTGTTCAGCTACACAAGATTTATCTAACCTAGCATATTTCAAATGTGCTAAGTGTTCTTTGAACCTTGTTTTTATGGGACGCCTGGTTTGGCTTATGTATGTTTTATCACAATCATTACAACTAATTTCAAATCCATAGTCTCTGAGAACCTTATCAAGTCCTCTCATGTTCTTGGGATTGAATTGTTTTTATCTTGTTTTTAGCTTGAAAAGTCATAGAATTACGTGGTGTGAACTTCAAGATAATTGAACTAGTCTATGTACTAGGAAATTTGAAGTTGCCATTTCGTCTTGAAAATGGTGATTGGAGTCATTAGTTATGTATCTAAGTGTGTTGCTGAAAAAAAACTTTGTATTGAAAAATATTTTGGATCATGCAGATGTTTGTGAGATTGACCAATTCTTTGATATTATCCGGATCTAGGTTGTTATATTTAAGTAATTCCCTTGAATATTCCAAAGTTGTTGGTATGGGTACACTTGGAAAAAGTGATGAAACATCAAATTATATTAGGATTTTGCCTTTTGTCAGATTCAAACCTTTGACTTTTTGATGAATTGCAGTGAATTTGATACAGAATGATTGTTGTAAGGATTATTTATCTGAAAACTTCAACCAACCACTTTGAAATATTGTAGGTGTGAGGAACAATTGTGGATACAATTGGTCTCATGTTCTTACTGGGTTTGAATATTTTTGTTAAACAATATAATCTTGGTACACTTGGGTTAGATATTTGTAATTTATATTTGTTATATGATGTAATCAGGTTTGGGCAATTATTCAAAGTTGATTTGACATGACTGACCATG